GAACAAAAATAAAACTTGGAGTCTATTTTGTGTTGACCAACTCTTCCTGAGCCCCTGAGACTTGCCCTTGAATATGGTTGATATTGAAGAATGTGTTTAACTGAAGAAAACTGATTTTTCCCTCTCCCAGCAACCATTATTGGCATATTACTTCCTAGAATGCTATCTGGTTTGGACCTGTGTGTGCTGTCCCTCTATGAGTTCGTATGCACAGCCTTGGTGCAGCTGGGAAACACTGTCTCCTTGGCATCACCCAGCACCTCCAGACCTTACACTCTCTGCTTCCTCTTCTGCATAGACCCCTGAGGCTTGAGGGGAGGGATATGGTAACTACATCCCATTCAGGGCTGAGCACTCTAAAGCCCCGACCCTCTGCATATTGTCCGGTTGTGAGTCTCTGTGTTTATCATCATCGGCTGCAAGGAGAACATTGTTACGATGGATGCGTATCCTGTGCTCTCTTACCTGCAGTTATGACTTCTACCGGAGACCCTTACGCCCACCAGATCTCTAAGAGTGATGCTCACAGTTGCTTGATTGACATCTCCTTCTTGGTATTTGTTTTCCTCACTTCAAACTTAAGATGCCTTTAACTACATTGATCATTTTGTCTTCTTTATTCCTGGCATCATTCCTCAAGAATTCTAATTTTAAAAATCTTTCACTTCTCTGCCTTCCAGAAAATATGTCTATTCTTTTCTTTCCAATGAAGCAATCCTAGACATCATATACTGCTACTCTATCCCTCACTTGTGTACCCTTGGCCTTCCAGTCTCTTCTCGAGCCATAATCATTATAATTAGATTTTTAATTAAGTCACCTTTACCTACCAAATAATCCAATTCAGTCTCTATTGTTAAGTAAAACACAATGTATGAACCCCTTAGTTGGACAGTCAAAGCCCAAGAGACATCTGTCTCTCTGAATGACTTTACAAAGACCCACCAGTACGGATTTGCACTTTGCCACCACGGTCCTTGTATTCGCGTTCTGAGGTGTCTCCTGCATCTCTCCCCTTCCCTGTACACATCTGCTTGTTCCTCAAGACCCACGCTACATTCTTCATATTGCTTGAAAGAAATCTTGTCTGGTCATTCTGAAAAGAAGGGATACTTTCTCCTGTTAACTATCACATTTCAAATGTTGATCATTTTGAAATTATAATATTCTTGCATTCAGAGATGTGAATTTGTTTATGTCTAAAGTGTGCACACTCCACCTTCCAGGAAGCAGAAACAATGCTTTGTTCATCTGTACAATCTCTGCCTCACCTGGCTGTGAACTTTCTTTTGTTCTTTGCAGCCTAACACTCATTTTCTGTTTGTCTGGTACCCTAATATTACAGCTTTTTTAGCACAATATTAACTCACCATTTATCATCATTATGGACCTCTGCCCTTCCTGTAGTTTACATTTTAATAACATTTCCATATAAAGTAGCAGTTTCTATATGTGCATAAAGCTGTTAAAATAGGTTCTACTCCTAAGTGAATATTCCGTTGTCCTGTGGAGCAATAGTAACCACCACTCTAAAGCCCTTAGCTGGACTCTCAGTTGTCACATAAGAGGCTGAGGTAGTAAAGCTCTCGTAGTTACATGGTTCACCCTCCTTAGCTACAAGGAAAATCTCATGTTATATTAGTTTTAAATTATATGTTACCAATTTGGGACGCTCAATATATTATACCGTTACCCTGGGCAATGAATATGAAGTTCTGTGCTTTGAAGACTTTCTGGACATAGTTACAGTAGTTAAGGTATCTTTTTGTGGTTAAGTGGTAGAAACTCATCTCAAGCGAATTTAATAGAAGGGAGAATTCATGCCTTCATAAAACTGAGTGGGCGTGGTCTCATGTTCAGCTGACTCCCGAAGGCTGTCACACTCCCGTTTCTCCTCTTCCCTGTAGAGTGACCTCACTTTCTCCCACAGAATGTGCATCTTCTCCAAACCACCAAGGAGAATGATTACTACTACAGCTTGCACAATGTTGTGGCTCCAAAGAGAGTTCTAATTGCTCTTCTTCAGATCAAACCAGCACTATAGACCGACCGGAGGGATGTACTACCTTGAGTGTCGCTGCCTGGGTCAAATAACTGTAACTGCTCTACATGCAAGAAAGGAGCGGGGAAGAGCTGATTGACAGCTGTAGAGCCACACAGCATGGAGGGAAGATACCCACAAGGACAGGGGTATAATTATCAGAAGAGGAAGCATAAGATGGGTCAACACTAGAAAAATAGAACTGCTTCCCTTTGCCCCATTTCAGCCTCTGCCTGTTCAGAACATACATTTCATTTAAAAAAAATACCTCAGGCAAAATAATGCTATCAGTCCTCACTAAAAAGTGACATTTAATCACAGTCATGTGATTTCTGCTCCCAGTTGAGTCTAGAGTCTCACACAGACATGAACAAATCCTGTGTTTGGAAATGAGTGAGTACCCATGGTCCACGCTCCGCCAAGTCAGCTACACAACGAATTAAACAACTCCGCAGAATCAACAGAAAAGGAAAATCAAGGTAACAATAGTAAAAATGGCCATTCAGAAAAGAAGACAGTCATTAGTGGTATTGTAACAGAGTCTAGGCTATGTGCTCATCTTGAGTTTCCCAGGCCAAGCAGTGAGCTCTTTGGCCAACAGGTACATCCAAGTTACGCGTCCTAAAGATCTCCATTTTCCAGAGGGAGATACTTTAGATGACACTGTGGACCTGTGATGGCTACTGGGTCCTGTCAATCAGTGTACACTTGAATAACAAGTCCACCTCTGCTAGGTTCACATCCATGAGGCAATTTCTCCTCAAACTGTTATATACCATGAGCTTGACTCTTAGGAGCTCCGAGAACGAAGCGCTAAGGCTAGCTGCAGACCCTTAGCATTGAGTCTAGACCCTGCCTTTGCAGTTCCAGTCTTTAAGTCGTAGCCTAAGGTAACAGGTCTGTTGACCCAAGTGACACCATTCTTGAGTTTTCTTTAACAACTTGATGTGAACTTTGATCTTGGCAAGTGTGGAATGAAAGCTGCTCTGTGAACCTTTACCTCCATAGTTTTGGGATTCTGCAGCAAGGAGTGATGTGAGTACATCTAGACTCAGTTTACAAGTTCAGAACCGGGCTGCCATCTTTATTGGCAGTGCAATTCTATTATTCAAGTCATTGGCCTGTTCTGTGCTTCATTGTCCCCATCTGTATAGAGGCTAGCTTACAGGAGTGTTATGAGAGTGAAATGAATTAATTCATATGAAAGACTTAGAACAGTGTCCATCACGAGCTATGTCCTGTGTATCTGCCGTTTATCAGTCTGAACATCTGCAGAACGGATTTATATTTATCTTATGTGTTCGTTGGCTCCATGTGTGCACGTGTACCACATGCTTGCCTGAAGCCCTCATAGGCCAGAAAAGTTGGATCCCCTACACCTGCAGTTACAGGTGGTTGTAAGCCAGCTGAGTACTAGGAACTGAAACCCAGATCTTCTCAGAGTAGCAAGTCCCTTTAACGGTCAAGCAATCTCTCAGCTCCACTTTTGGCATTTTTGTCTTCTTCCAGGGTCTGGTCTTTGCTCACACATTCGTTCTCATCACTGGGCTTTTCTGCACCTGATGCTGACAAGGGTTTGCGTTCAGACTTCCTGTTTCCATGGGGCTGTCTGATCATCACTGAGCAGACGGTGGCGGGAACTGACGCGAGGCTGATTGACAGCCAGTACGACCAATGCCATCTGTAAGAGAGACAGGCGCCCCCAGAAAGAGGGGCTGCAGAAAAGGGACTCAAGGACGATGTTAGAGACATTTCAAATCTACTTCACGCGCTTCTCAACACTGCTTCCAAACACAGGTTTTGGGGTGAATCCTCCAAAATGCAGCATCTGAGAAAGAGATTTAAGTGTGCGCGACATCTGTGTGATTGAGTAGAAGTGAAAATTCCACGAAAGATTCCCAGGATCCTAAGACAAAGAACAAGAGTGTGCATTTGCCCTGACCTATGGATCACCTGTGGTAAAAACAAATAAACAAACAAAACCAAAAAAAGAAACAAAACAAAACAAAACAAAAACCCAAGCACATAGCTGAGTTGTCTTTTAGCTAAAAGCAAAGATGTTCACTGGGACACAGTTTGGAGCTCTGTATTAGTCAGTCATTCGCCCATGAGGATAGGAGTCTCAAAGGCAAGGTGGTCCCCAAGGGTGGATATTCCCAAAGGAAACTTGTGAGCCCCTGGTAGCCGATATGCACTGCTTCTGTTGTTTGAGAACACAGGTCTGGTAAAAAAAAAAAAAGAAAGAAAGAAAGAAAGAAAGAAAGAAAGAAAGAAAGAAAGAAAGAAAGA